AATTAAAATATAGTTGTATCTGCAACTGTATTTGATAATGTTCTGAACTTTTAAAATATTGCATGGTAAAAACAGAAGCTGCACTTCATATTAGTGACAAACTGGCACTTTTTGATTAGTTACTTTCATTTTTGCTTCTACTTTTCATTTAAAATATGTTTCCATTCTCGGCAGGTTTCTAAGTTTCTTCTTCTACATATTAAAAAAGTTGTTAAACATCTGAGTGGCGCACTACTGCAACTAATGGTGAGAAAGTGTATTGCACCTTATTCAAAATCGATGCGGTTCCACGGCCCTCTGCGGCCCAAAGTTAAAAACTGTTCTTTTGAGGCCCTCAAGGTGGTGCTCACGGTCCACAATTGGGCCGCGGCCCATGGGTTAAGAATCGCTGCCCTATAGTGTTGTTATGTGCTGCATGTTTGTTGACCTGAGAGAGAGAGGAGGGAAGTTGTATTGATATGGATTGATATGATATATCGATATGGATCAATGTATTGTTACACCCCTGTTGTTTATAGTCTTTCATCTGCTGTTAGGTGTAGTTTAGAGCTGTCTGGCAAACAAGACCAAAGATTTCCCCGATGGTCAGTGCTCAGTGCTCAGTCCTCTTGACTTCCCTCTCATAACCAAAATAATGAATCGCCTGCTTCCTCGTCAATGTCCTCACTCTGTCTCTGACTGTTTTTCCTCCATCTCTGCCTTTGAGCTTCCCTCCTTTCTGCAAAGGTTCTGACTACGGCTCGGTCCGTCTGTCCACAGCTTCACCTCCATCACAATCTCCTGCAGCTCCACGTTCAAAAATCACCTCCTTGTTTTGTTTCAAAGACACTAAAACAATACAACTACACCCTAAGTATAAAGTTTATAGCAATATAATAATTTTAAAACATTTCTGAAATCTCGTTGCTCACTCTTGATCTTACCATCTCTCCACTGGAAACTTTATTCAAATTTTGACTCTTTTTGTTCTCATCTTCCTGTAGATTTGATGCTAATCGTCTAATATTTTCAGGCATCAGTCAGAAAGGAGTTTGGCCAGAGGATGGACTGAGGTGTTTTTTTACATGTATCAGCCTACTTTTGCAGCCTCCTGCTGCAACGCGCTTTGAACATGGCAAACGTTACTAAAAAGAGTAATTGTTTTTATGATATAATTTAATCAATGTATAATTATTTATTATTAATTTGGTTCAAATGATTGGAGCAGCCATAAACTACACAGTACATACTTCACTTCCTGCCCCCTGTTTGCATTTCACACTGTGATGTAGGTTATGTGCACCTTTGATTGATGTTTTGTAACAATGGTCCCCAAACTTTTTAACAAGAAATTTTTTCACATATTAGTGGGGGGGGGGGGGGTACTGTTTATAGCAAATTGTTTTTCACTCACTTTTGCCAGGGTTCACTAATCTGTTAGCTAGTAAGAGAAAAGTAACTGGAACTGAGTCATGTGCATGTAAACGTGCTAAAGCAAGTGGTCATTTTTCTAAATAAAACCCCTTGCAGACCAAGGTAAATAAAAATATTGATGTAGATTTTTATTATTTTTGTGCAGCCATGATCTGCTACCTGTCCTATGGCTCAGTGGTTGGGGACCCCTGCTTTACATGATGTGAGTTCATTGATTGTGTTCCCCTTGCTGTTCAGGCTATGGGGATCTGTGGGATGATATACAGAACTTCCAAGAGAAAGACGGAGACAGCAGTGTGCAGGGACTGAGTGTGAGCAGCGAAGAGGCCGAGGGGAGCAAAGAAAGCAGCGGAATCGAGAGAAAAGAGGAAGGTTGTGTGTGGAGAGGAAGTGAAGAAGAGGCAGAGCACTGGGACGACAGCATCAGTTCAGTGACTGAAGACAAGGAGGTGGAAAGAGGTACAATGTGTTTGATCTTCTGTCTTGTGTGGTTCCGATAGCTGCCATTTTGTATCAGTGATACATACACACCTTCAACACGTTCTTCCTCCACTTTAAGCCTTGGTAAAATACATTCAGTACATTTTACACAATGTTGATGTTTTACTGGGCAGTCTTGTTCTTATAACAGTTTTTGTATGTGTTTATGTAACCTGCGTGAGCAGGATCCATGAGCAGATTGATTGCGCATGACTGCGCTGCCTCGATTTAGCAACTAGTGATTGGGAAAATTGTTCATTTTAGTGTACATTAATACGATTTGTGTGTTTTTATTTCCATGTGTTACATTTTTCTGTTCTTCATGCACAGTCGATCTGCACATTGATCCTGCTCCTTCCTGTATTTTGACCAATAGTAGAGGAGCTGACCCAAGAAGGGCAGTCCACCTTATTTGCATAATGAGGCAGAAATGCATAAAGTAAAAACAAGAGACAGAGAAATGTAAAAACACATGAAAATAAAGACTTGTGGGAAAAGGCAATTAAGACAAAACATTAAGAGACCAAATGCATCTAAAAATAAAAAGACAACCTTTTTAAAACTAGTAAAATTAAAATATTTGCTGAAATATATAATTTGTTGGAAYTAAGCTGGAAAAAATATAAAGGTCAGTTAAATTATAAAACATGAGTTAAAATGATTTTAACTTTAATTACCATATGTCAATTTCCTCTGTATTTTTTAATGCCCTGATGAGACATATATTTCATTTCCAATTGACTATGGGTTGAGGATGGGTCTAAGCTACAACTGTGCCAAAGTTTAATTCAATATCTGTGAGACTGACTGTTTTAAAACCATTTTTGTGTTGGTTAACATGATTAGCTATGCTGGTCATCTTAGATTAACTCCAAAATGTAGTCATTTGTCAATTACATTCAGTGTTTGCTGTTTGAATGTTATATTAATAGCAAAGTTTTAAGCAAAACTATTGCACATTATGTAGCACAGTATGTGTTTGGGATAATGCTCAGCTACTATTGCAGCATATTGTAGCTCAGTATCTAAAACTGATGGAGTTGTAGCCATTGTTGTGTGTGCTATGGTTACTTTGCTGTGGTGGGCATTTTAAATTGGGTTGACTTCAAAAGGGAATCAGTTACAGATGTGCATCCAATGATTAATTTGTAAAAGTTTAATTAAAATCCACCCAGTAATTTGTAATATGCACTGCCTGACCGAAAAAAAAAAGTATCCACCAAAAAAAGGTCACACACTCTAATGTTTAGTTCAACCACATTTAGCTTTGATTGTGGCACACTTTCTCTGTGGCATTGTTTGGATTAGCTTCTGCAATGTCACAAGATTTTTTTCAATCCAGTGTTGCAGTAATGTTTCACCAAGATCTTTCATTGATGATGATAGAGTCTGACCGCTGCACAAAGCCTTCTTCAGCACATCCCAGAGATTCTCAGTGGACTCTGTGGAGCCAACACATGTGTGAAAATGAATCTCATGCTCCCTGAACCTGTTCCCACCTGCATATACAGTAAATTCCCAAACGTTTGGTCTTTTTTTTTTCATGTAATAGATGTGGCTGATAAAAAAGTACTTATGTCATTACAGACTGGGGACCTGACCCAAGGTTTTTAGTGGTGGGTGATAAGAGATGGAGATTTGACACCAAAGGTTCCAGCAGCAGCCTGGAGCCCAGCATGTCCTCCACCAATGGTACGCACAGCTCTCTCAACAGTGAAGAGGAGGAGCTGGCCTGTTCCATGGAATCCAGTGGGCAGTATGAGCCATACACTCACTTCAACCAACACTACAGTGGTAAGATCACATATTAAAAGTTTGTATTTGATCATATGCTAAGTTAAAGAAACTAACTCGTTGTCTGATAAGTGGCCTTAAATGTGGAAGGATTATCTGAAAAGTGAACTTTTCTTATGAAAAAGTTGCTTATTGATGCATAAACACTAGAAAAACACAAGATATTTATTACAATTTACTGTGAAATACTTGTTGCCAATTCTTTATTGACCGACTGACCGTCAGCCGGACAGAAGAACTCATTTCTAGCTGCAGATTGGGCAAAAGTGGATATTTAAAGATTTATTTTATTTTATTTTTTTACATCCTACAGGTTCTGGTATGTTAAACTAGAAGCACTCGGAGAGTGCAAACCTCTGCCAAGGCCAATTTCCCCCATCCTGCAACAGAGTTAATGCATAAAAGCAGAGATGGAAACACATTTGCCGAATAAGTTTAACGTAGCGAACATTTAAGTAGGCAGTATGCACAGGATTTCTTCCCGGTGGAGTCCAATGTGAAAAAATGTCAGACTCGTCACCCGATGTTATTCATCCACAAAATGGTGCCGGATCAAGCTCCAAAGTTTTCTTCAGACAGATTCCACTATGTAAAACGTCTGTTTTATCCCATTTTATGAGTTTTTAATGGTTTGACTCTCTTTATAAACTACTTCCTGGTAGAGTCGGCTCTGGAAGCGACTCGCGGTTTTTTTTTTAAGCGAGTGACTGAAGCAAAATACAGCGTCTGACCGCTTTCAGCACAAACAAACACTCCCACAAACTTCTGACCAATCACACAGTAAAGTTCTTATGTGGAGGGGGTACCTCACATGGTCGGTCAGTTGTTCCCGCTGTTCGGTACCAGCTTCGGCTCGGTTGCAGCAGTACCCTCCCCCCGCTGTCAGTGTTTTCTCAGTTCTTCCTGTAGTGTGAAGAGAATCACATTTCTTTTTCTACGTACGTCTCCAGACAGCATGTAACATCACCAATACTAGTTGATAACAGAATAATCACAACTTTCCTGATAGGAGGCATCCTGGGAGGTGTAGTCCCAGACTTGTACTTCCTGTTTCCTACAGGCCTGTGTCTGATGTAATGACACTATGCGTAGCCTGGCTGATTCCATCAAATTAGAAGAAAAATTCCTGTGTCCGCATTGTGATCCGGAACATCACCAAAATTTAGTGGTGTGTTCCTTTGGCCAATACCCACATGTGGTAAACATTTCATGACAATTCGTCCACAAGTTTTTGAGTAATTTTTAGGTCTGAAACTGGAAATTTGTGAACTGCTGCACTATTTTAGACAAATCAGGACTTAAGGCAAACCGGTTTAGTACCTTGACCATTATCTTCATCCATCATCAGCCATTTATTTTTTATTTTTTTTGTAGAATGAAACTTCAGTTGGTCTTAATTTGATGCAAAAAGAATTATCATATTTTTGGGAAAAGGTCTGGGAATGTTATTAATTTGACTACAGTCTCAGATACCTCTGAGTCTAGAGGATTTTTGTCTATAAGTGAATGTTACACTACAATGCTGCGTTTAAAAATGTCTCCCATTGATGATTGTTCTTTCAAAGCTGTATTAGGTTCAGTGGTGGACAAAGTACTCAACTCTAGTACTTGAGTAAAAGTATTGATACTCATGG